TAATCCTAGCTACTCAGGAGGCTGAGATCTGAGGATCACGGTTCAAAGCCAGCCCAGGCAGGAAAGTCTGTGAGACTCTTATCTCTAATAAACCACTAGAAAACCAGAAGTGACGCTGTGGTTCAAGCGGTAGAGTGTTCACCTTGAGCTGAAGAGCGCAGGGTCAGCGCCCAGGCCCAGAATTCAAGCCCCACGACTGACCAAAAAAAAAAAACAAAAAACATTACATCCACTGGGTGCCAGTGGCTTATGTTTAATGCCTACTTACTCAGGAGGCTGAGATCTGAGGATACTGGTTCAAAGCTGGCCCAGGCAGACAAATCTATAAGACACTTATTTAAATAATAATAATAAATATTAAATAATAAATTAAATTATAAGTTAAATTATAATTATATAATTATAAATTAAATTAAATAATATTATTTAAATAATATTTATTATATTTTAAGTAGGTACACAAAGGAGTTACCATTCAACAAAGCAGTTTATGAATACAATGTGTTTTGGTCAATGTCACCTCCTTTCAACATTTTCATACTTCCCTCTCCAAGACTCCAATTTAACAGAAAATTTTTTAAAGTTGGAAGTGTAACTGTGGCTCCCATGGAAGAGTGCCTGCATTGAGCAGGAAAGCAAAGCTAAGGTCCTAAGTTCAAGACCCAGTAGCAACACAAATATAAAAAACAAAAACAAATTTTTAAAAATGCATTTAAGCTGGGCACCAGTGGCTCACGCCTGTAATCCTAGCTACTTAGGAGGTTGAGATCTGAGGATTGCGGTTCAAAGCCAGCCCGGGCAGGAAAGTCCGTGAAACTCTTATCTCCAATAAACCACTCCGAAAACCGGAAATGGCACTGTGGCTCAAGCAGTAGAGCGCTCACCTTGAGCTGAAGAGCTGAGGGACAGTGCCCAAGCTCAAAGTTCAAGCCCCACGACCGACCAAAAAAAAAAAAAAAACGCATATAAATGAAATGCATATAAATGAACAAAGAATCATAAAGGTCATTGGAAGATTCCTCCTGCTGGAAGGACTGTGTGGGTAAAAGCCTGGACAAGCACCTGAAAGCAAAAAGGACTAGAATTATGGCTTAAGTGACAGAGGGCTGGCCTAGCAAATGAAAGGCCCTGAGTTCAAACTCCAGTACTGCCAATAAATAAAGATAATGAAAAAAAAATGATCTGAGTAATAAATTAGACAAAGCTGAAGAGCACAAGAGTAATCAAGGTGTGAAATTGCTATTGAACAAATCATGAAGTTTGGAAAGTATGGAAGAAGCCTTCTGTGGTACAGATGATAGATGGAGAAATTGCAATATCCTTTAGAAGTAGGAAACCTGAAGAGTGAAGAGGATGAATGCTAGTCAAAGAAATGGGAGAGGAAAAAAGATTTTCAAAAGTCAACACTCACGTCTGTAATCCTTGCTAATCAGGAGGCTGAAATCTGAGGATTGAGGTTTGAAGCCAGCCCACTCAGGAAAATTTCTGTGAGACTTATCTCCAATAAACTACTCAAAAAAGCTGAAAGTGATGCTGTGGCTTAAGGACAGCACTCAGGCCTGAGTTCAAGCACCAGTACTGGCCAAAAAAAAAAAAAAGCTAAAGAATAAAGAGAAGGCATGAACAGCCTCTAGAGAAAAAAACAATGGTGACAGGTGAAGCTGTACTTACACTGACTGCCAACTTTTCATCAGCAACACTGGTATTAGTAAGCAATGCGGTAGCATCTTCAACATTCAGAGAACATTATTTTGAACCTAAATTTTAAACTATCAGTATTTAAATGATGCTTAAATAAAGACATCTTCAAGCCTTTCAAGCTTTTAGAAAATTGACCTGCTAAAATTTTTATGAAAAAGTGACTCAAAGCTGTATCCCATATGAAAAAAAAGGGGGGCAGAAAGGGGGTGGTAAGAAGATAATGAGATTCAAGGTGGGGGGGAGGAACTCAAAGCATGAAAATGGAGGAACAGCAAGTAATGGCTTGAGCTTCCTAGTTATCCGAGAGGTAAAAGTTGCTAGACCAGAGGTAAAGAAGAGACTCAGGAGAGTTTTCAGAAGGGAAGGTGATAGCTACAAAGCACAGAATTGAGGAAATACCCAAGGATGACTTGGCTATTTTTAATTGATTTGATTATATATGATAAGTAAGAGAAGGAAGAGGAAGAAAGAAAGAATTCTGAAGTAGGAAAGATACAAACTACCTCCTAGAATAAGAAAAGTGATCTTATATGGACTTAAAGAAATTGCCAGCTAGGCACTGGTGGCACAAGCCTGTAATCCTACCTATTCAGGAGGCTGAGATCTAAGGATCACAGTTCTAAACCAGCCCAGGAAGGAAAGTCAGTAAGACTCATTATCTTCAATTAGCCACCAGAAAGCCAGAAGTGGAGCTGGGCTCAAAGTGGTAAGGTACTAGCCTTGAACAAAAAAGAGCTTAGGGACAGCACCCAGGCCTTGAGTTCAAGTGCATGACAAAAAAGAAGAAGGAGGAGGAGGAGGAGGAAGAAGAAGAAGGAGGAGGAAGAGGAGGAGAAGGAGGAAGAAGGAGGAGGAGGAGGAGGACCAGGACCAGGAGGAAGAGAAGGAGGAGCAGGAGGAGGAGGAGGAGGAGGAAGAGGAAGAGGAAGAAGAAGGAGGAGGAGGAGGAGGAGGAGGAGGAGGAGAAGGGGAAGAAGGGGAAGAGAAGAAATATTCCTTAGTTATTAGAAGAAGGAGGAGGAGGAGGAGGAGAAAAAGGGGAAGAAGAAGAGAAGAAATATTCCTTAGTTATTTGATTTTGGATTCTGAAAATAAAAAGTTGGTGAAGTTTCAAGTAGTAAATCAAATCCAGGAGAAAGATGTATGGCAAGAAATCAAGGCACTGGTACTCCTTGTTTGACCTTATATTTGACCTCTCCCTCAAAACTGTTAGCATGTCCTACTCCATTTTGACTTAACAACCTTCATCTTAGGTCCTCAGCCCTTTTCCT